AAGATTAATTCAGGTTACTTAAATTTAAGAGTGCACAATAATGAGCACAGACACTTCCACTATGCTGGTGTTGTTAAGAGACTTTGTACTTTAATCAGGTGCTTGTTGTACATATCTAGTCGTCCTGTGGTGTTTGCCGTTTGTGCTCCTGCTGTGGCCATTTTTCATTATAAGCAGTTCATTTTTTTTTTACGCTTGTTGTTTATCTACTTAATATTGTTACCCATTTTCAGAGTGCGAACATGATCTCTTGTAACTCATGGATTACATCATGGCTTCACTTTTTTCACTTTTTTCGTCGTTGGATATGATACACACAGCATCAATAAAGCACTTGATTTAGCTTTTCTTTATCATTATTCCTAATAACACTAATAATACAAATAAGAAAACAGGCAAAAAAAAAAAAGGAGTTGCTGCTGCTTTCAGAACCACAATGGATTATGTTAGATTTTCTGTTCTTCTTTACATCAGCTGGCATCAAGAACATTTTGTTTGTGTGTTATTTTACTGGTCTTTTGAATCAAAGTGAGTGAAGTTTATGATATTGCGCTTTGATGGTGATGGCAAGAACAGAAAGCATGCTGGTACCTTTATTAAAGTGAATTAGTGATGAATCATCCCAATATATGAATCATACATCAATAATAGTCTAATCTGACACACGATACATGATGATGCACGGCAAAAAATAGCATACTGTCAATACTGTAGAGACGCCCCGACGTTTCACAAATCATGTTTTCAGGGGTGCTCATGTCTTATAAATAAATACACGATGAAATATGACAAACCATCAGCAAACACGTCGTGATTGTGTTGCTAAAAGCACGGTCAAAACACTGAAGTTAGTGATCAAGGTTCTGGGTATCGCAAAAATGTTAGTTTTGTAATATGAATAGTAAAGACAAATAACACTTGAGTCCCTATCAGATCATCTGACCTCCAAGGAGCAGGATCCGGTGAGGTATCATGTCACCCTAGTTGTCACGTACCAGTCAGGGACACACAACTCGAATCAAAAGTGAGTGTGAATGTCCTCAGTGTATCCGGGCATATGCTCGTAGAAATAGACAGTTAAAAAGTGTTCTTTCAAACGGAGGGCTTCTTGATGCTTTTCGACAGTTAGGGAGGATAAATCACATTTCATTAGAAATATGAACATAAAAATTTAGTAAATTAATTACATTCTAATTGTTCTCACATTTGTTTTAAGATCCATCTGCCTTACAGTAATGATTGCCACAGAAGCGCAATAAAAAAAATGTGGGAGAATCAGGAAAAAAAAAACGACAAATGTCTCCATGTGGACAGGACAACTAGCAGAGAACTTCAGCTCACAGCACTAAACTAACAGCATAAGGACACAAATAAAGCAAACAAAATGCTGACAGAGCAGAGAACAAAAATACATTTCAAGTTGTTGTGCGCCTCTGTGTGTGTCCATGGACAACATACAGGAAACCCTGAGGCTATAGGGAACTTGCTAAAGAAAGTTTGAACACACCCACAGCACCTGCTCAAACAGCAAATGCATCTTGCTGATAGCTGTTGATGCAGACATAGCTGCTATGGGCAAGTCAAGATTGCCTTACTCAACAGGCCTGCAGGGCAGGGTGTGGTGGGTGAGAAAAGTAATACCCCCAACTAAAATGTCCTGCTGTTAATGTTCTATATCATGATTGCCATCTCTTGTAACAGCTGGATGCCTATTTTGGCTGCCGGAAATACAGTGTAGATTCTCCTGGTCACCTTTTAATTGGAAATTTAACCAGGACTATTTTTATCAGCGCAGTATGAAAAGTTTTAGGATCTCATTTTAAGTTTCTCTGAAGACTTGCAGATACAAGAAACAACCTCGCAGAGTGCTCCCTTGTTCGTTTTGAGCATTTAATTAGAACCAGAGTATGTGGAAATAACAGGAAATAACAGGGGACTGATAAAGCAGCCAGTAAATCCCCTGTAAGAATTCTAAGAAAAAGCAATCGAAGGTAGAAGGTTAAAGCAGAAAAACGCGTTTCATTTGTATAACTTGTTTCCCTTGAAGACATACTTTCAGACAACTTAAGTTGAACTACACCACAGAGACCCTGAGAAATTCCAGCTATTCCATTCACTGACAGCTGCCACATGCGCAGCACAGCCCACGTGGCTTTTGCTCTGCAGGAGCAACAACTCCATGAAGTGGCCTTGTAGGATCTTCTATTTCGTCCGCCCAGCAAAACAGACTTGGTAAACAGCATCAAAACCTAAGATTCTTTTCCTCAGTCTAATGTTTTCCAACTCTCTCGCCATTTAAACACATAGTCAAATAAAAGTTTGCCCGAGCGCCTGCACAGATGACTTTGTCTATCGGTGCAAACTAAAGTGCATATTATTGACACTATCTAAGCCCACTTCAAGCAGCGCTGCCACTCTTTCTTGCTGGAAGCAATTTTCATCTTGCCAGAGAGGAATAATCTTGTTATCCTTACAGAAATCAGCAGCTCACCAAAGTCATTAGAGGAAATCATCTCAGAATCATGAAATTCATCTAAACGCTGAGCCTTCCGACAGACTGACTGACTGGCAGCGCCTTCCATAATGCCTGCCTCAAATAGGAAAGCACAAATCCTGGAATGAAGACAAAATGGTTGATGCTTAAAAAAAAAAAAAGGCAACATATAAAACTACAGGCTACATGCAGACATGATAGTTACAGATGATATAACATCTTACAGTGAACAGAGGTGTAGAAAACGCCCTCACTGTTAGTTGCAAGGCAAGGCTGCACAGACATTTGTATTTTTTTTAAGATACAATATGACTTTTCACCATTTTCAAGGCTGTTGCTGAGTAAATTAAAGAACTCTTCTGTCATCTTCCCCATCTTATCCTTTCAACCTACTGTAAATCAAGCAAAAATTAAAATTTAAACAAAATAACAAAACAAAAAGCAAGAAGAGGAAAAGGACTAGTCGACGCTCCCCTGTCCAGCATTTTGTAACCTTTCCCCTCATTGTGCAATTTCCACATTTTTGTATGACAACTGGAGGGGATATTTTTGACTGCCTGTCTTTCAAATGTCTGATGACATTAAGGAAACACTGTCAGCAGCACTATAACTGATAGAGTGACACTGGAACAGTTGCCGTCCCATCGCCTGGGTGTAATGTTTAAATTAACTTGTCAGATTTCATTTTGAGCACTTGTCAAATTTTGGTTGGCCATAATAAATGCACAGTCTTTACTAAAAGCTATGTTGGACCGATGAAATACATGCAAGTGAAACGCTTCAGAGAGAGCGATCGGATGCGTACTCTAACACTGAATAGACAACCTGAGGTCTTAAAATGGAAACAGCAGTCTAAGTGTAATGTTGCAACTCTGAAGGTCTCAGAGTTGTTCAGGACTTTAGTCCAAAATGTGTTGGATATGTATTGTAACATCTAATGGAAAAGCAAATAAATGCAGGGGATAAGAAGGCTAAAAATAGTTCTGTTCTCTTGCAACTAGAATCGGCTGCAGCGACTGTCGAGTATGTGGACTACAGTCTTTGTAGTGTGTAAAATAAATGTACAGTAACCTGATTTATCTAATTAATCAAGCTGTATTTTCAGTTCAGCTTAGCAATTTACTGAGAAGTATTTTTTCCTAACAAAAATGTCAAGGTTGAAGCGACATGTGAAGGTGCGTTAATCTCCTTATGTTAGTGCGTGCAGTCAGTGACAACACATTCACAGGCTTACATCTTTTAAAAACTGCCCTGGATTCATTTGAGAAGCAGCTTACTTGATATGGTAGTCTTACTCCATTCACTTTAAGCCACATAGCACATTATGCTGATTTAATTCAACAAGAAAGTCAAAGCAGACTTTCAATGCAAGCAGTGTTGCCGTTACAGCTCCTGCATTTGTTTAACGAATGTCGAACTCGGAGAGCGCTGATGTTTAGGAACGGCTTCAACCTTCAACTTCCCTGACCGAACAAAAAGAACTGCAAATTCTAATGCAAATTATATTTCCCAATTAATAACGCAGAACTGCCAAGTAAACATTTGTTGAAGCATTCATAAACAAATAACGTGAGCTGTATCACAACCCGACATGATTCAAACAGTCAAAACCCAAAATCAAGCAACGCCCACTGAAGTGTTTCCATCCTATGTCCTGTCCAATTAATACATGTATATCTTTATCGAAAAACTTAACCTAAAAATAGGCTTCATTGGTTACGGCCTTTTTAAGGTTGTATGTTGGTGTCCGTCGTCTGCCATGGGTGGAGCCGTGGCACACGAACTTTGTCCATGAGCGCATGGAAACAACAGACAAAAGGACGAACCTGCCGTCTCATAAGAATCCTAATTTATTCAGGTCTATTCACATCACTGCTATTTAAGCAATGGAAAATTAAAAAAACTCTATCAAGTATTGCAATTCAAAACCAGTCATTGGGTGATCCAATAGCCGAGAGGTTAAAGCACATACCACATGGGCGCAAATGCCGTCAGAGTCCCCGATTCAATTGCTGAACAGCCAGACTTTTGCTGCATGTCACTCTTCTGCTCTCGTTCCCTATCTTTGTCTGTCTGCACTGCACCATTTGAACTCAGGCAAACATGAATGCTAAAAAAAAATGTATTTAAGAATGACATTTTTTTTAAAGGTTATGGTTAAAACGATGGCATTCAGATCATTTCAACTTGTTCTATAAACAACGCTAACTGCATTTATTACCAAAAAGAGGTTTTGTAGCACTTTAATAATAATTTGACTAAATCTAATAATGATCCAAAAAATGGTAAATTCAGTTGCAAATGTGAAGAAGCACGTGAAAGTGAAAATGTAATTCGCGGAAAGATGCCAAGATTTGATTTGCCATTTTAATAAACGAGCAGGCATACAAAGCAACGACAACCAAGGTGAAAGGGGGCGAGCGTGTACAATGACCTTTGACATTTCCAGATCTACAGTTAAACCAAACCCAAATTTTGTCACGAACTAAATGTGCACAATACTTACCCGTCTGCGACAGAAAGGTAAACCCTGAGCAATGATGTTGATGCTAAATATCTTGAGAACTTTCTGAGGGGGTAATGATTCCGCGGCGACGTCCTTCGAGTCTGCCAGATTAAGCGCCTGGTTTTCCAGAGGGACACGCAAAGTCTTCTCTTTTCCACAGGCAACATTTGGCATCTTTTTCCGAGCACCAGATGACGAGAAACGGGGAATAGGGCAATGCCGCAGCATTGCAAAAAAAAACCAAACGAACAACAAAGTTGTCTAATGGATCATGTCCCAAAAGGATCTGCTAAAACTGACAAGCTGATGTCGCAAGTGAAAAGGTTTTCTTAAACGACTCTTGCACCTTCCTTGGACCTCCCAACCATTGTGCAGATGTAATAAAACTGCACTCGCCAAGCTCCTACCTACTCAGAACTCATCTCCCTGCTGAGTGGCACCCTTTAAAATATCTCTGGGGTGTGAGGTCACTGTTGCTCCCAAGCCAGGCGGAGCAGCTGCTGTCAGGGCCTGAAAGAGGATGGACCAACTCAGCCTCTCCCCCCTCAGACAGGCACTGTGCGGTCTACTCTCATGACCCCTCAGCGCTGGAATGTGTACCAGGAGTCGTCCGACGCAGCACATGTGTCCGGTGGGCTTCCTCATTGTGGTCATTCTTTGACCCCCGTCTGGTCCTCCCAACTTAGTGGCCGACATCATCACTGAGCCCAGTTAAGTTTCCCCCCATGAAAACTGTCAGCATACAACAAAACAGCAGATTACTATATTCTCGTCTGCATCGCATTTGTCAACTTAAGTGTTGAAGCCGGGATTTGTTGCCTGCTAACCTTCTCTCACTCTTCCATGAACCAAGGTGTTAAGGAATGCCAATAACTCTGCCTATGTCAGCAAAGAGTCTGAGGATATTTCAGGAGACGATCACACAGTTGTCCAATGTTAGCATGTGTGACACATGCACTTAAGCAAGGATTCACTAGTCGAGCATCAAGAGGAATGGACTTTTAAGCCGACTGAGGTGTTTTCACATGAAGCTACAAAGACAGAAGAAGCAGCGAGATGTCGGTACTTTTCAAATAAACCTTGCTACAAAATGACACATTAATGTCTGAGATGTTAAAGGTATGATGATGTGAAGGAACTCCAGCAGGCTGCTGAGGAAAAACTCCACACATGCTGTTTATGCTGATTCCCCGAAAAAGTAAGAAAATTAACATGCAGCAGAAAACAGCTGACAATTGGTGCTGAATATGTATGAATCTACAGACTGAGCAAGTGGCAAAACACAACTTTGCATTTAAATCTCCAAACACATGGTAACAAAAGACCTAGAGGGCTTAACCTCTCTTCTATTCTCACATCCACCATTGTTTGAGGAGGATTACAGCGCCTGAACATCTATCAGGGCCCCGACACACCAGTCCGACAGTCTGCCGTTGGACGCCATTGAATGTCGGTGGCAGACCAACACCCATAGATTTTACAGTATGTTCAGCACAATTGGAGCAAGTTGGTGCCTTATTGACAGCTGTTCAGCCAACTGAGCAAGTTGAACTAAAAGCGGAGGCAGCCAGTGAGGGAGAGCTGTCTAATTGGGCATTTGGCCTGCTATGTCAGGGATTTAACCCATTTAAAGAAGTTTTAACAAAATTTTCTCTTCCGTCTCTTCATAAGCAAAACACGTAGGCACGACACTATTGTCAAACAAGGAAAAACTTGTGCAGCATTTTAATTACACAAATCCTCATATCATTATTCAAGCATTCATAATCTGAAAACGTGATGAAATGGGGTTTATTTTGTTCCTATTTCACTGCAGTTTCTAAAGGTAAGGTAAGATTACTTTCCTTTTCAACAAACTGCCTGAACTAAAGTTGGTGACACGATGTCACGACTCACAGATGCTAAACAAATATTGATCATGAAGCTGTAGACAGCATGTAACGGTAACCCCATACTTTTCATCCTGGCAGTGTGACAATGCACTGAAAATAATAAAACATGCTGACAAAATAACTTCTCCATTTACAGACACGGCCACGTTTGTTTCAATTGGTCAATCTAGCATCTGTTCAGTCAGAGCTGAATAAAGGTAAGTTCTGACCTGTAGGTCAGCAGGAGTTCGCTGAATATTGCAGTGAAACAGCAAATGCAGGCTTGAAAATGTCTGTCATGTAGCTTCAATACAAGTAAATGGGAGAAAAAGCAAATATTCAAAGGACGGAAATACAACAGGACTGAGATTTAAAATGGGCAAAATAAACATGCCAGCTATGGGCTTATCATCAGCTATAAACAGCTAACATCAGCTGCTTGATCACTCAGTCTTTGCTGGCATGAGGTCTTTACATTTAGCTTTATTTGTCAGGTCCCTCATGCACCCCTGTCCTTCAAGGCAAAGGATATATAGCACAATCTTTCAAAAAGCAACAACAAAGACTGAAATCGAAACAGGGACTGAGCTACAAATTACGGTATTTCCATACAGTCATACAACAAAGAAAGTGTTTCTCAGCACTGAAAAGGTGTCTGCTAACTATTGTGAAACAGAGGCTGAACAATACATCTGTCTGGTGAAGCACGAGGCCGGTGCTGGCTGGTTATAGATGCATCGGTATCAGTGTGTATGTTTTCTAATACTAAAACCTTTTTGTGGCAGAAATGCAGAAAAAGATGCTTGGGGTAATATGGATATGTTAACCGAAAACTTTATCCAGCAGAGCAGTTCTAACTCTATTGTTTATAAGACTGTCAGCGCTGTCTGCAGCACATGTAGCAGAGCATGCATAAACAGCTGATCAGATAATGGTGTTGAGTCAAATGGTGTCTTCACAAGAAGCTGGTAACTATTATTTGAAATACAGTTCTGAAAAAAGAATGAACAATTATGCCATCATTTTCCCTTTTCGGCTTCACTATCATATCCATCCATCCATCTATCCATCCACGTGGACAAAATTGTTGGTACCCCTCAGTTAATGAAAGAAAAACCCACAACAGTTAATTTTCATAGAATTTTTATTTATCATTACTTTTGTCAGATTCAAGTTATTTCTGTGACCATTGTGGGTTTTCCTTTCACTAACCGAGGGGTACCAACAATTTTGCCCACGTGTTATATATATACAGCTCTATTTACAAATTGAACTGGCCAATACATCAATATTAAATTTTTATTCCCTTAAAATTGGTATTGGCATCAGACATCCAGTATCAGTCAGGCACTACATTCTGACATGACACACGTCTCATTTATTCACTTTTTTTGAATGAATGAAAATAATTGGTTCAATTTTCCTTTGAGAAAATGATCAAACCATGATTACCATTAGTCCCCCAGGGTGTGAAATAACAAGTGAGGCACTATTGAGCGGCTGCTTGTGTCCCAGGCCTTGTCCAGGTTACTTGAGCTTTCAGACTAATCTTAGGCCATCAAGCTATGTGAAAGAGACACTATTCCAATCTGCTACAACATGATCGCCCCAAAGTAACATGTCAAATTGCAAGTCATGCAAGTGTATTTACCTTTCGGCAATGCTCGTCCTCAATGTTTGATAGAACATTTTCTTTAGCTACTATTAGGCTATTTTCTGTCAAATCATCCAAAAACTTTCAAAGCTCTTTAACTGCATATCTGTTTGCTTTCCCACGACCAAAAAAAAAAAAAAAAACACCCAGAGGAGATTCCTCTAATGAAAAACTGGGATAAAGTTCGGTGAGATCTTGAGTTCTCACAGTGTTTCTGACCCTGTGTTGTGAAAAGGGGGTTAGAGTTATGTTTTCAGATGACAAAGCAAAAAAAAAAAAGTGTTGCGAGTATCTTTGGAGCTTTACAAAGGGAGACAGAAACATACAGCCCCACAGAGCTTTACGGTGATCATAAACTGCCCAAAAGGGTCAATGGCAAGCGTAAAACCACTGACAATAAACCTATCTAATAATTCAGCACACACTTTTTACGGTCACAGAATTACTACTGCACTAGCTCATAATATTCCCATAAAGTCTACTAACGAAGCTATTAGAGGGGCAAATTATTTTGTCTGCTTTCGTTTAATGCTGTGCCCCCATGTTACTGCTTGGTCACTGGGTTCGCAATCCCAAGACTGCTGGGGGTCAGAGGTCAAGAATGCTTGGCTTCTCGTAACTCAGTACACTTTCAAATCACTCGCAGCTTTTCAGTGCAACTCAGATGACAGGGTATAAATGCACATGTAGGCTCTGTGAAGGGGAGAAACTGTAGGCCTTGCGTGTGTAGTATTCGTATAGCTACTTACGTGGATTCTTCAAGGATAACAGCTTGGTTTTTTTTTTTTTGAACACCACCTTTCAAAAGGGCAATGAATTGATCCTACTAAGATGTACTTTCTGCATAGCAGCCCCTCAGTGACAGTCCAATGCTACCAGACCATCCACGTGCAGTTTGGACAGAGCATAAATCCCTCTTAAATGCTTCAAATTGCTTTCATATTCCATCACTGCAGTTCTGGAGAACATGAGGTGACTTTGTGAATAGAAAATCTTTTTATAGATTCAATCACATGAAACAGAAATGAAATATATTCCAATTGTACCCTAATGACAGAGAGCAAGCAGCCTTTTAATTTACTGAAGGGATAATAATATCGAGGTGTACGTTTCATAACTGTAAAACGTAGGGTAGGGGAAAGTGGTGCGCCCGGCGTACAGCAGAGGGGGCTTTATTATCTTGAAGCATCCACATAGACAATATGATAAGATGAAAATAACATTCCCGGAAGAAAATAGTGGTTTTCAATAGATTTTTTTTTTTACATCATTCTCAGTCTTTTCACGCCGACACTGTCTCTACATCTGTCAGCCATGAAGCTGCCTCCTTTCAGGGTTCACTTAAAAAACATGCTCACGTAGCTGGTTGAGGATAGCGACCGGTCATTACCAGGTCAAGCTTGTGTTGCAGTTTATGCCAAGCTTCAAAAAGCAACCACAACCTGTGGGTCAAGAATTATTTTAGAACCTTCAGACCACTGCCTCCATCTGGTGTCAAAGCCTGGGACGACTGCGCTGCACAGCACACAAGAAATCTAAAAAAAAAATCTATTGTGGTACAAACACACTGGATACTTTTTATTAAGTGACTTTTCTAAAAACATTATGAATAACATGCCCATATCTGTTAAATAATATTTAAATCAGTTATTGCTGCATAATGCAAGAAATGCAATAAGGATTTCCAACATGACTGGCTCTTTATAAAGTATGAACTCTGCTTCTTAAACATGTTTACGACTGCACACACCGGGAGTGTCACTGTACACACAGCATGTAGGTTTGCAGTAACTATGTTCTATGGAAATGCAAATCCTTTTTGTGTGTTTTTCAAATGTTCAGACACATGCACGCACATGCAACAACAGCACAGTTCTCTCTTTTACCACATTTGCAGATCCTC